TAGCACCGGCGGGCGGCAGAGGGACGAACAGGTGACACCGGGAGAGATGCCTCGGCAACCACGTGCCATCAACGCGGGTGCCAGATGGACGGAAGGGCGACCATCATGTCGTTTGAACGCGCGGCTGTTGCCTGCACCGGGAAGCGGCATGGGCGACACCCTCTTGGTCGGCGTACCGCTTCAATGCCGGTGCCAGTGAGCAGTCGTGTCCGCTCTGGTCGGGCATGAATGTTGGGGTTGACTAGATGACCGTTTCGGGCAGTAACGCACGCGGGCGCATAAGGAGGGGTTTTGGTGGGCCAGGATGGCCAGAAGCGGTCAGAACTCCCGCAAGCCCCACGTTTATCTCTGGTTTGCGAAAGAAAACAAATTCGAACCACTTCACGAATCGATACATATCCGTGTTGGATGACTTCCACGATCCGGACGCATGCGGGAGATTTCTTGGTGAGGTTGGAGATGCCCTTACTATAGCTGAGTGATGCATGGGACCATACCGTGCTGAGGACTACAGGGCAGCGGCTCTGTGGCGGCACATGGTCAGCCTAGTCCGTCAGCAAGTCAGACCTGGCCAAACGGGCCGGCCCGACACGGCATGGCTCAGCCCGTGCTAATCGTGCCTGGCCCGGCACGGCTTGCCATGGCATGTTTAATAGCTGGGCCGTGCCGTGCCGACCCACAGGCGTGGCTCTCTGGCCCAGGCACGACCTGATTATTAAACGGGCCGGCCCGTGGCACGTTTAGCATGCTGGCCCATCTGATTTTTAATATGTTGGGTTGTATTTTAGGCCTATTGGGCTGTATTTTAGGCCTATTGGGCTGTAATTTAGGTCATATATATAAAAAAATCTGAAAAAAATTAAACGGGCCATGCCGTGCCGGCCCGTGTGCCCAGCCTCCAGGCCCAGGCATGGCCCATGGCGTGCCGCGTGCCGGGCCTAGCCCGTTTAGCTCGGGCCGTGCCGTTCCTGCGTGCTACCGGGCTGGCCCAGTTAGCACGGCCCGTTTGGCCAGCTATACAGCAAGTCCTCCGCTCTCCGCGTTTCCCTTATTTCTACCGCGTCTGGAGAGTGGGAGACTCACTGAGAAACAGAGAGACAGAGAGAGGGGGTAACCGTGGAGTCGATCTCGCGGCGGGGACTCCTCCGAGGCTTGTACGTCTTGCCGACCACCGGCGGCCTGTTCGCCGGTGAGTTCCTGCAGCGGCCCGAAGAGGCATGTGCTCGCAGGGGGAGGGGGGAGGCGCCGGATCTAGCGGGACAAGTGCGTCAACAACGTGAGGTATATTTCGTTTCTTCCTCACCTGGATCCGACTAGTTCAGTTTTTGAGTTTACCGACGAAGTAGATCTACTGTGTGAACTGCTGTTGGTCAGCCGCAGGTTTCCTTCAGCGTTACTTCTTTCTTCTTCTTCTGTTCTAGATCCGGTTGAGCTAGATTTGTTCGGCTAAGTTCATGGTGGTATGGATCTGAAATGCAACCTGTCGGTCATCCATTCCACCATAGGTTTCCTTCCGTTCTACTCCAACTCTCCAAGTGAATCGTGCGTCTACTTCGAGATCCAGTTAAATCATGAGTGGATCTAGTTTCTTCAAGCAAATCACGAGTGCCAACCATTTATTTTCCTGGCCGGCCGGTGTGTGCATCTTAATTCTTCAGTGCAAATTGCTTCCCATGCATGATAGATTTACAGTGCTAATTTGGTTGTACAAGCTACTTGACAACATCCACCAAAAGCTTCCTTTTCCGTGTTCTACTTGAGGCAATCAATCCTAGCTAGGTGGATCTGTATTAGATGCATCTTGAGCTCATCCACCAAAAGCTTCCTATGTGTGTTTAGTCTATGAAGAACTGTGTACTAGTCATACTAGTAGGGTGAAAATCACAACTGCCCGGGGACTTGAAAAGATGCTGCTGTGAAAGAAATGAAAGGATGTCGTTATTCACCTGTACCATCCACTGTTCTTTTTTGTGCTGGTTGATGTTTGATATAAGCTGTTTTTCTTTTAGGTTTTGCTTGTATTTGCCTAGATAGATAACTACCTCATATTCTTGCTGATTTGCTTGCTGCTAATCATTGCAAAAACTTTCATTTGAACAGGTACCTTGTATGGGGTGAAGTGAAGGCTGTTTTATTAATCAATCATCGTATTATGTGCACAATAAGCTTTTGCTATGCTTTCACCGTCGATGCCCACTGGTTGGATCATGCTTCTGTTTATGAGCTCATTGAAGTAACTCTCTCCAAGCTCAAATGGGCCAATTTCTCGTTTGCATTATATATAAAACCTTCAGCTATCCATCTCCATATCAGTCCGTCTCTCTTAATTTTGTAATCTTTTGGAAATATGCTTAAATATCCTCGAACATAAGAACGAGCCACACATGCTGCACCAATACTGTGAAAAGTAGCATAGAATGAGTAAAAGAGGCTCTTGACTTTTAGATTATGCAAGAGCTTTGATCTACAAGTCAACCCTTTTTTACTAACTACTAGTAGCTTTGATCTGCCTTCTTATCTATAGGATTAGTTATTATGTTTAACTATGTTTTTAGAAGATTAAGCAAGCTTATTCGATATGTAAATGGATAGTTTGAGGTTTTATTTATAATGATAAACAAGGGATTAGCAAGTTTGAGCTCGGTGATAGAATTACTCAATGAGATCCTAAATAGAAGCATGGTTCAACCAATTGACATCAATGTTGATAAAGGCATGGAAAAATCTTATCGTATACATGATATGGTGATTGATTCCATATGTTTTTGCCAAGTGAAGAAAAACCATTTGCATGGCACTCAGTCAAAGGCAAGATTTGAAGATCAAACATTCCAAAGAGCATGACAGGTAGCAGCGATGCCACAAGTGAGGTTTGTTGCAATTGTTGATTCAGTGTAGCTTATGCTGAGTGTTCCAAGTTCTACATGTGCTGGATTTAGAATATTATGCTGTATGCCTCCGTTCTTGCCAATCATAATGATTCAAGAGCACTGCATTTGTCTTGGTGTTTTGATTTGTTTTCCTTTTGCAACAACATGAAGCTCTCATTTTATTTATATCCACTTATGCTGAATTGTATTGTCATGAAGCTCACATTCTATTTGTACCCACTTGTGCTGAATTATAGTCACTTCACTTGAGTCCAGAACCATCAAGTTTCTGTGTTGGCTCCTGCAATTGACTGATGATTAACTTGTTTTCCCATTTATTTATCTTGTACGGTTTCTTGCTGGTTAATCTGCCTGGTTTTAGCTGTCCATTGTGTCTCTTATATTTATAACAGCTTTCAGTGTCGTTTTACTCTACACTGAAATGAAATATTAGGTCATTCAGTTTGTGCAATGTTCTGAGATTTCACCTTTTAGGTCATTAATTTTGTTTATGGCCCTCTATGTGACACATTTGTTTGAATTTGACTGCACAAATCTGGCAGTGCTACGAGCCTGAATTGGTGCCTATGATTTTTTTGATGTAAAATGGTTTGGATAAGCAAGTAATACGATAACCTTTTGTAGTTTACAGTTACAACGTCATAACTGTTACTCTTTTGTCTTTTGTCTTAACAGTTACTCTTTTGTCCATTTAATGCCTGTTTCTGTTGAGCGTTCAACGGTTCAAGTTCTCCTCTTCTTGGATTTAGTTAGGATATATGCTTCCATTCTTGTCAATTGAGACTGCCTGAGAACACTGCATTTGCCTTGGTGTTTTGATTTGTCTTTCTTCTGCAACACAGACATGAGAGTTCTCGTTGAGATTCTACCCACTTACTCAGCGGTGCCTGCTGTACTTTTCTCATGAAGAACTTCTTTTCTGCATTTCTCTGTTTTGTAAGGAGTATATAAGTAAGGTGTACTGCTGGGCTTGGACTATGTGTTTCTGTTTCCAGCAGCTTGCCGAGTCGTTTTACTCAATACTTGTGGACTGAAATTTAAGTCGTTCAGTTTGTACAACATGTCGTGATTTCACCTTTTATTTGTAGATGTTGCTATTGCCTTGCTTCTTCCGCAGTTTTCTTGAGGGCAAGGCCGGGCACCGTCTGTGCAGGCGACGGCAGCAGGAGCGGCGGAGCGCCACGATACCCGAGCACAACCTTGGTCGGACCGCCCCACAGACACCCCACGCCGGAGCGCGGTGGCGGTCGAGCACAACCAAGGAGGCCTTTTTGCCAGCCAGCGTGACTGCGAGAGAGTGCCCGAGCTACCACGCCGAGGTGGCAGCCCGCTCTCCACGCAGGTCCCAGGCAGACGAGCCGGAGGCTCCCGGCGCACGATCGGCTGGTCCGCGGCCACGTCGTCAGCCTCCGCGAAGTCGGCCCAACGCAGCTCCGAGGCCAGCGCGGGGGTCGGGGAGGGAGACGAGGGGGCGGCAGGCGGCGCATCCGAGGAAGGGGCTACCGCGGGGAGGCGCTCCGGCGTGTCTCTGCTTTCTTTCTGCTTCTAACCATCTGATTGATTTCAATTCTTTTATGATATGCATGGCAATATGAAAATAAGTTCATCACTGACATCTGCATGTGCGAAAAAGAAAGTCGAATGGACTTCATCCTACCTGGGTGTGCACCTTCACGAGAAAAGAATCCGCCTAGCTAACATGTTGTCGACGAAACAAGAGGAAGATGTCCTTTTATATTGGCTAAACGAATTTTGTTAAAAAGAATTACAATGAAGGAAACGAGGTAAATGGAGTTCCACTGTTATGAGCTTGGAAGGAAAGCAAAAAAAGAAAAGGAATAAATGGTCATCCTTATGATAATTAAGGCAGGAAGGGAAGGAATTAAAGGAAAGAATAAAAGATGGAATAAACTCGATCCTTCATGATAAGGCAGGACGGGAAGGAATTAAAAGAAAGAATGAAAGAAGGAATTTTTTTTCTATTATATACGAGGCATGAAGGAAGGAATTAAAGATTCACAAGGAACGACACAACATGGTTCACTGCTAGAAACATGTCGAAGTTCATGTTAGAGACGATTAAGGTGGACCGTGGCGATAGTGAAGTCTATGGGGTTTAAGTTGAGTCAACAAATTGATGACCTCATACCTTAATTTAATTTTGCATTAATAATTATTATTGTGAGCTCTTAATAAATAAATGCATCGCCAGGTATATTAAAACATGATTGGTGTTGAATCACACGAACATGTATGTCCGGCTGCAACACACAAGGAATTACAAGCTGGTGCACGTAGGGCTCGAGAAATCGGCATGGTGATTGTACCAAGATCACTGCCTTGGGACGATCATATTTGATGAAATTGATCAACATGGATGATGATGACGAAGAGGAGAAGTGACAACACAGATGACTCGTTATGGGTGTGTGAGAGTTTATTTCTCCCGTTGCAACGCACGGGCATTTGTGCTAATATATACCTTAATACATAAACTGACTTTATAAAATATATGGTTTCATGTGTGCTATAGATGAGATGCATAAAAAAGATCTATTTATGGGCACTGAGATTAAACATGCGGAATTCCCTGAGAGTTTAGAGCATCTCCAATAGATGGTCCAAATGTAAAAGTAACTAACTTTTGAATCGTCTGAGGCCAAAAAACACAGCTCCAACAGACGGTCCATATGTAAAAAAAATTAGAGCGTGACCATGCCGTGATGTAAAATACAACACCTCGCGGTGCAAATTTAGATCACAAGGTGCATCTTGTCCAAAACCAGCCGCCGCCCGCGAACGCCCAACCGCCAGTTCCTTTCCTTTCCCGCCCGCCCGCCCGCGACCTTCCGCCCGTCCGCCGCCGCCCCGCCGCACGCTGCCCGCATTAGATCCGGCCCCGCCACGCCCCCGTCGCTGTTTCCACGCCG